GCAAATGTCACCATGGGACTCCTTGCTGGGAACAGCCTCTGGAAAGAGACATGGTCACGTGCACTGAGACAGGAGAATTCCACCCAGCTTTGGTGTCTCCGTGGTGTGGAATTTTCCCCTTTTTGATAACTGCTGTGCCATTCTGGGGAACTAGACAGCAGCTTTTGCAATTATGAGACACCATCCCCCCACCGATTGTTTCTCCGGACCTCGCAGTCTCACTGCTCCCTTCGCCTGACAATACGGAGGAGAAGACTCTGACCTTCCACAGGCGCATGAGTGTTTCCACCCTTGTTCCTAGAGCACCCTGTAAGCTCTGTGGGCAGTGATCACAGACCTCCCGTTTTCGTCACCTCTTACGACACGTAATGCACATTTTAATACAAACAAACAGCTGTCCCGGGGTCTTAAATATCCGTTTCTCTGAGCCCACAGCAGTCCGGTAAGTCGTACATTTGGGGGTCAATGCCCTCCATGAAGTCGTTAGGGATCCCTATCGAAACCGACTCCACCTCCATTTTGTAGGCGGCGGCCACCCCGCCTTTGCTGGAGCCGCCCTTTATTTTGTTGGAGAGGGTGTTCATCTTTTCTTTCAGCTGGGTGGAGGATGGTTTCTGGAAAGCGGTGAGCACCCTCCACCCTTTGAAGCTCAGCGTTCGCCTCTTCGGGGCTCGTTCCTGGGCGGTGGAGTTCAAGATGAACGAGCTGTTGAGGGTGGCGATTCTGGGCCCCAGGTCCAGCTCAGAATCCCGCCCCGAGCTGCTCATGGAGGCTGCTCGCCAGTGGTTGTCGTACACCCTCCAGAGTGGCCGGCGGCGCCGGCGGCACCGGCACTTGAGCAGCCTGATGAACGCTCTCTTGAACTCTTTGCTCGAGCAGGGGTAGATGATGGGGTTCACGCAGCTGTTGAAGTACCCCAGCCAGAAGATGACCTTGAAGACCAGCTCGGAGGGCTTCAGGGAAGGGAAGAAGGAACCTTGGAGGAAAATTGGGACAAAAAAGGTTAGAATCACAGAATCATAGAACACTAGGACTGGAAGGGACCTTGAGAGACCATCAAGTCCAGTCCCCTGCCCTCTTGGCAGGACCAAGCAACATCTACATCCCTGATAGGTGTCTATCTGACCTGCTCTTACATATCTCCAGTGATGGAGATTCCACAACCTCCCTAGGCAACTTATTCCAGTGTTTCACCAGGAAGGTTTTCCTAATGTCCAACCTAAACCTCCCTTGCTGCAATTTATGCCCACTGCTTCTTGGAAGGCAATGGGAGAACTAGAATGGCAGGTCAGAATATAAAGCTCTGCAAGGAAGGGTGGAACCAACTGCAACCCTGCATCAGCTCGGCATGCACCAGATCTTACTGATGTTTATGGAGGGCTCAGGAGAGAAGCAGCAGCTCAGGACCATTTGGAGAACGGAGGCCCATGGCCAGCGTATACAGCCCTCATAAGTCCTTGAGGCTTGGATTCTCACTGGGCAGGGTGGAGAGACAGCATTATGAACTATGGGAAGGAGGGTGGGTGGAAGGGAGCAGGGGATCGCTGGGGTATGATGACCGTAGATCTGCTACTAAGTCATGAGCCACCCCGCAAGGCAATGTAAACCTACCTCACAGGGAGCTGATGAGGGTTCGCTGCATAGTGTTTCTAAAGGACTTTTGGATCCGGAGCTGAACAGGGCTTTGTTTGTGCTCCAATTCCTTTTTGACCTTTCTTTAGGTAGTATTAAATCATGGGGACTGAGTTATCCTGTAATTACGTCTTCTTAACATGGGCAATATTAACACGTGGCTGTTTTTGGAGCAATTGTGGACCAGCTGTAGACAGGAATGTCCACTAGCTGCTCCCCATGCATAACCTGTATGAAGGCCGGTGTTCCTTGTAAGCTGAGCGTTTGGGCAGCCACCTAGGAGAGATTTAGGTGCTGTCCAGCTGATTGGCAGAGCCCCCACAGCTGGCAGCATGTGTTCCTCTTGGTGGTACACATCTGCACATGCTTTGGTGCACATAATAAACTTTATTCCACACATGGACGGGAAAAAAATGAGAGGGAATGTTGATGAAGGCCCTTGAGTGAAGAATCCACCAAGAGGAGAATGCAGCGGCACAGGGCAGCCACCACGTCCCTGCCACTGTAAGGACCAGATGCTGGGAGGATGCGGCCCAGACTGAAAAGCCCTCGGTGCTGACTCAGGAAATGTGTGGCAGGAGATATGCCGATTGTGCACATGACAGCAGTAGCCATGCATAGCACAAACACCGAGAGAGCGGGTGAGTGCTGATATCACACACCAGGGGAGTGCAGTTTAAGGGACAACATGGAACACAGAGATGTAATTTCCTGTCCCAGCTGCTGTGATTCTGGGCTTCCATCTTCATAGCACCATGATTCTCTTTGGCACTAGATATTAATGAAATTTTTTGGCATGCTTTTTGGATCTGGAAGCAGTGCAGTCTAATTGATAAGTCACCGGCCCTGGCTTCTGGTTCCAGCTCTGGCACAGTCCTTGTGCAACTCAGTTTAAAAACTGTTCCGTGCCTCAGTTTTCCCATCTGTAAAAGGGGCAAAATGGTATGCATCTTTCTTCACAGAGTGCTTGGAGATTTACAGATGTAAAATAGTAATGTAAGTGCTGACTGTTACTCACTTTTTAGCCTTAAAAATTTTTCAAACAAAATATAACCCCTTAAACCTTCCCAGTTATTTTTTGCTTGCAGTTTGCTTTACTAACTTTAAAAGACATGCACAAACACAAATAAAAAACCCACAATGCAATAGGCAAGAGACTGACAGGTGAGCTTGTCACAAGTGCAAAGGGATTTAGGAACATGAGCCCAGAAGATTTTCAATCTCAACTCGGGTAGGCACTTGTGACAATTTCATTACATTAATTCAGAAGGGGTTTAACTATGAATTTTAAATTAATTAATTAAATAGATCATAATCATTTCTTCAGCTTGGTTAAATTAAGCATTATTCCAGTATCACTGCAAAGGAATGCAAACAAATACGACTTTTTATGCTGCCCACCTTTCGCGTCTAAAAAGCCAGGACTTCCCAATCATGAACAGCAGATGTCACTGTCGTACCCACAGAGTTCTGCTGCACCCTATTACAGTACACAGAAAAGCCTGAAATAACTTTCTGACTCAGCCTTAATTTCTTTTAATTTTAGCTCTGGATGACAAATCACGACACTGTGTGACTGAGCGTTAATTCGTATTTTGTAAATATCATTAGCTCAAGGTATCATTATTATTTTATCTGCGCACATAGCCCTTGTGTCATAACAGTTGAAAGGGTGTTGAGAGTCTGGCATGAAGCCACAAAGATTCAGCAATTCCCTGTGAAGGAGTAAACCTTCCATGGCCCAGTGAGGCACGTTCGAAATCTTCTGTCAGAGGAAAACATAATCTGTAAAAGCCAGGGCCCTAATTCAGCAAAGAACTTCAAGCCATCTCTCTTTTGCACAGAACTTAAGCATAAGCCTATCTTTAAACAGGTGCACTCTGAAACTGTGTGTAGCTCCTATGGGCATCAGTAGGACTTACGCGCTTAAGCACAATCTTACAGTGACATGTGACATGACAGGCAAGGCAAGTTTTTAAAGTGGAGTATGTGTGTAAAACCTAGTTCAGGAAAGCAGGTAAGTCATGTTTAAGCACATGTTTAAGTGCCACTGAGGACAATGGAACTTAAAAACATGCTTAAATTTAAAGTTAATCAGGGATGGTCTGGCTAGTGACGCTTTCCAGAATTGGGATCAAAACCATGTGCTGAAACAGGGCCAAGTGGTGATTTGCAGCAGGGGACTATGAATGTTTTAAGTTTAGGTTGCTCTTTGAAACCGACCATGTCAATAGAGCTGTGCAGCTCCCAAACCACTTGATCTGTAAGTGTCAGGGTTTTACCCTTGTATTATTATGAGTGATGCTATGGTGCGTAGGAGCCCTGGTCACGCCCAGGCCCCACCGTACACGGTGCTGCACAAACGCCAAACAAAAGGCAGTGCCTGTCTCAAGGCGTTTACCATGCAAACATAAGGCAAGAGACGGTAGCATGGCTGCAGACTGACAGGGGCGTACAAGGAAGCAATAAAACAATGTTGGTGAGCAGGACGGGCGGCGATCTAGCTGATTTGTAGGTATCCTGGCAAAGGAGGAATGGAAAGGAGAACAATGAAGTGGCTTTGTGGCTGTCTCTGGGGCGTGCCTCTCAAGTGCCAGGGGCAGGCTGGAGAAAGCAAGGAGGCGTGTGTTTGGCCCAAGGTGCCTGCCAACAGCGCCCTTTTGTTACCGTTTCAATCCGAGTGGGAAGGAGATATCCCAGTAGTGAATGAGAGCTGACTGGTAGGATGGGGCTAGCAGGACTGCCAAGGCAGGGGGGAGGGGCAGCTGACTTGGGGCCTGATAATTTAAAAGGGCTTGGCAGTGTCCGGAGTTCCCAGATGTTTGAAACTGCTGCCCAGTCCACACTGCCTGGGGCTCCGGCAGCTAAGAAGGTTTGGCTGGGGGAGG